TGCAGGCCTGGGGTTACTGCCTGGACGCACGCCCAGGTGAAGCCACGTGCCGTCAGGATCCGTCCTCCACGTTTATTCCTCGTGGCTGTTTCTGGTTCTCAGTCGGGTCTAGTGTCGTAGTCCCCGTGAATGTGGCCTCAGTAAGCCGGGGACCCCTGGGCGGCTCAGCGAGTTAGCGCAGCCTTCAGCCCAGGCCATGACCCCAGGGTCCTGGGATCGAGTCCCGCGTCGGGCTCCCCGCAGGGAGCCTGCTTCTCCCTCTGCCTGGGTCTCTGCCTCTCTCTGTGTCTCTCGTGAGTAAATAAATACAATATTAAAAAAAAAAAGAAGCCTCAGTAAGCCTGCGTGGCTGACAGGGTGACGGGGTGACAGCTGAGCTACGAAGGGACCGGGCCATTCTGGGGCCGGGCCGGGCCTCTCCCCTCCACGGGCCAGGCTGCCTGGAGCCGAGGTCTCTCTGGTAAGGGTGTCGTCTTGTCGGGTGCCGGGACAGGGGTGCGCCTGCCCCCAGTTGTCCGTGGAGGGACGACGGGGAGGACGGCCACCCGCCTGTGTCTCCCGCAGCCCGCAACCCAGAGGTGGGCCAGCACCCTGGTGGCGGCGTGGCCCAGGGGGGCTTCGTGTCGCCTGCCTGGCACCGACCAGGAGACCGAGTGGCAGGACGGAGCCCACTGGTCTGTAGGGGCTCGGGGTCTCCCTGGCGCTCCCCGGGCCTCCTGGGCCGGCCCCTCATGCTCCCTCCCCTTGCTTTTGGCCTGGGACGGCCTCATGTGTGCCCTATCCAGGTCTCGGTCCCAGCTTGGGGTCCCGACCCCCATGACGCACACGCTGCCCACTTTCGTCCTCCTAAGGGCCAAAGGCCACCGTGGGAGTCTGCGGCCGCGACCCTGGGACCCCTGGGAAGACTAGCGAATGCTTCTACTGCGCTCTTCTCCGAATCCATTTAAACTACGACGTGCACTGGGTGACGTGCTATATGCTGGCAAATTGAACACCAATTAAAAAAAAAAAGTGACAGCTGCCACTCCTCACACTTCACGGGCCAAAATGTGTTACATGCAAGGCCTCACTTCAGAGGCAGGCAAATACCATCCAGGAACATCCCCAAAAATGGTGAGAACTGGAGATGTTGGATAAATTCCACCAATAATTGTAAAACCTGTAGTTTCAGGTAGCAGCTTGCATAAACTCAAAAAATAAAAGTGGGATCACACACACAAAAATAAAACATAAATAAATAAATAAACAAACAAACAAACAAACTACAACATGGAGCCAATGTTCTGTGTAACCGGAATTGGTTGGAAGGCCGGCCGAAACGGCTCTTTCTAGAAATGACATTATTTCAGTGTGATGAGGCTGGTTACCCATCCTATCAGAACCCTTGTCTGGCCATTACACACACATTGTCCCAAGACTAAAAGGGTCTCTGGTTAAAAAAAAAAAAAAAAAAGGAGGAGGGTTGGAGAATTCTTGTCCTAGGTGCTCAGGAAGCTTTTTTTTTTTTTTTAATAGAAGTTCTTACTTTCTTTTTTTTTTTAAGATTTTATTTATTTATTCATGAGAGACACAGAGAAAGGCAGAGACACAGGCAGAGGGAGAAGCAGGCTCCATGCAGGGAGCCCGACGTGGGACTCGATCCCGGGACCCCGGGGTCACGCCCTGAACTGAAGGCAGCGCCAAACCGCTGAGCCACCCAGGCTACCCAGCATTTCTTAATACAGCAGGAAATGGACATTTCTTCCACTGCATAAAAAAATTCTCTACAAAAAAATTAGGTCCACGTTTCCTTATCTGCGATTCACATCTGAAAAGCCCTTCAACCCAAAAGTTATTCCATAAATTTGGCACCGAAACTTATTTTGCAGCATAAATGAGCTTGAAGGGACCAAAGACTCAGCTGTCACAACATCGCTCTCAAAATATCTGCTGAGTGCTGGAGTTTTGTTGCCTTTTTTGTTGTGTTCTTTTTGTAACCAGGAAAACATCAAAGATACCCTCCTGGTAAACGTGAGAAGACAAAAAAGAAGAAAAAAAAAGTCTCTCCTGTTAACAGCGGCACAGAGAGGTAGGTCATCAGAGAAGCTCCATCCTGGCACGTTTGGGACATATTTTACGAAAGATTACGGAGTAGAATCATTACTATCTATGACCTAAAGGGACAGAAGTCGTCTAAGTTGTACAATGATGAGGAGCAAAAATTAATAAAAATAAGAAAACAACTGCAGAAGACAAAAGTTAAAGATTTTTTAAAAAAAGATTTTTACATAATCTCTACTCCCAACGTGGGACTCGAAGTCATGACCCCGAGATCAAGAGTCGCAGGCTCCACCGGAAAAAGTTCGGCCTTCAGTTACCATCAGTACAGTCACTAAGGCTCGGAATGATGTTGATAAATTAGTATTAAAAAAATGCTTAGCTAGAGGGAAACATTCCTCGACATCTTAAAAGCCATCTACGGAAAGCCCACAGCAAATATCATTCTCAATGGGGAAGCACTGGGAGCCTTTCCCCTAAGAGCAGGAACAAGACAGGGATGTCCACTCTCACCACTGCTATTCAACATAGTACTGGAAGTCCTAGCCTCAGCAATCAGACAACAAAAAGACATTAAAGGCATTCAAATTGGCAAAGAAGAAGTCAAACTCTCCCTCTTCGCCGATGACATGATACTCTACATAGAAAACCCAAAAGCCTCCACCCCAAGATTGCTAGAACTCATACAGCAATTTGGTAGCCTGGCAGGATACAAAATCAATGCCCAGAAATCAATGGCATTCCTATACACTAACAATGAGACTGAAGAAAGAGAAATTAAGGAGTCAATCCCATTTACAATTGCACCCAAAAGTATAAGATACCTAGGAATCAACCTAACCAAAGAGGTAAAGGATCTATACCCTAAACCTATAGAACACTTCTGAAAGAAATTGAGGAAGGCACAAAGAGATGGAAAAATATTCCATGCTCATGGATTGGCAGAATTAATATTGTGAAAATGTCAATGTTACCAAGGGCAATGTACACGTTTAATGCAATCCCTATCAAAATACCATGGACTTTCTTCAGAGAGTGAGAACAAATTATTTTAAGATTTGTGTGGAATCAGAAAAGACCCTGAATAGTCAGGGGAATTTTAAAAAAGAAAACCATATCTGGGGGCATCACAATGCCAGATTTCAGGTTGTACTACAAAGCTGTGGTCATCAAGACAGTGTGGTACTGGCACAAAAACAGACACATAGATCAATGGAACAGAATAGAGAACCCAGAAGTAGACCCTGAACTTTATGGTCCACTAATATTTGATAAAGGAGGAAAGACGATCCACTGGAAGAAAGACAGTCTCTTCAATAAATGGTGCTGGGAAAATTGGACATCCACATGCAGAAGAATGAAACTAGACCACTCTCTTGCACCATACGCAAAGATAAACTCAAAATGGATGAAAGATCTAAATGTGAGACAAGATTCCATCAAAATCCTAGAGGAGAACACAGGCAACACCCTTTTTGAATTTGGCCACGGCAACTTCTTGCAAGATACATCCACGAAGGCAAAAGAAACAAAAGCAAAAATGAACTATTGGGACTTCATCAAGATAAGAAGCTTTTGCACAGCAAAGGATACAGTCAACAAAACTCAAAGACAACCTACAGAATGGGAGAAGATATTTGCAGATGACGTGTCAGATAAAGGGCTAGTTTCCAAGATCTATAAAGAACTTATTAAACTCAACACCAAAGAAACAAACAATCCAATCATGAAATGGGCAAAAAACATGAAGAGAAATCTCACAGAGGAAGACACAGACTTGGCCAATAGGCACATGAGAAAATGCTCCGCATCACTTGCCATCAGGGAAATACAAATCAAAACCACAATGAGATACCACCTCACACCAGTGAGAATGGGGAAAATTAACAAGGCAGGAAACCACAAATGTTGGAGAGGATGTGGAGAAAGGGGAACCCTCCTGCACTGTTGGTGGGAATGTGAACTGGTGCAGCCACTCTGGAAAACTGTGTGGAGGTTCCTCAAAGAGTTAAAAATAGACCTGCCCTGACCCAGCACTTGCACTGTTGGGGATTTACCTCAAAGATACAGATGCAGGGAAATGCCGGGACACCTGCACCCCGATGTTTCTAGCAGCAATGTCCACAATAGGCAAACTGTGGAAGGAGCCTCGGTGTCCATCGAAAGATGAATGGATAAAGAAGATGTGGTTTATGTATACAATGGAATATTCCTCAGCCATTAGAAACGACAAATACCCACCATTTGCTTCAACGTGGATGGAACTGGAGGGTATGATGCCGAGTGAAGTAAGTCAATCGGAGAAGGACAAACATTATATGTTCTCATTCATTTGCGGAATATAAATAATAGTGAAAAGGAATAGAAGGGAAGGGAGAAGAAATGGGTAGGAAATATCAAAAAGGGAGACAGAACATAAAGACTCCTAACTCTGGGAAACGAACTAGGGGTGGTGGAATGGGAGGAGGGTGGGGGGTGAGGGTGAATGGGTGACGGGCACTGAGGGGGGCACTTGACGGGATGAGCACTGGGTGTTATTCTGTATGTTGGTAAATTGAACACCAATAAAAAATAAATTTATTATTAAAAAAATAAAAATAAAAAAATAAAAATAAAAATGCTTGGCATTGGGGCACCTGGCTGGCTCAGTCAGTTGAGCATGTGACTCTAGATCTCCGGGTCGTGAGTTTGAGCCTCAAATTGGGTGTAGAGAGGACTTAAAAATAAAAATCTTAAAAAAAAAATGCTTGGCATCGATAGGATGCATAACCACACATTAATTATGAGGAAAATCAGAACCAAATTGAAAGACGTTCTACAAAACACGTGACCATCACTCCTCAAAAGTTTCAAGGTTGTGGGGAAACAAGAGAAGACTGAGGAAAGACCACAGACAAGAGGCAGCTCAGGAGACATGATTTTTTTTTTAATTTTTAATTTTTTTAATTTTTTTTAATTTTTTATTTTTATTTATTTTTTTTTATCTTAGGAGACTTGGTGATTAAATGCAGTGAAGTGTCCTGGACTGGATCCTAGAACAGGAAAAAAAAAAAAAGGCCATCAGTGGGAAAAACTGGTGAAATCTGATAAAACATGGGTATCCATTAATTGTACTAGGCCTTGTTAATGTCTTAGTTTTGACAAACGTGCCGTGGTTACTTGACGTTAGTGGAAGATGGGTGCAGATTGCACAGGGGCTCCGTACTGTATTCGCAACTTGTCTGTAAGTGTAAAATCACTTCAAAATTAGAGATTCATTTTTAAAAATGCTTGGCATGGGCCTTGGAAACTAAATCTAGGAAGACTTTGAAGGATTTCACCAGTGAGAAGACAACTTATGCCCCAAGGTCGCCGGTCAGAAGTATAAGGCCGACACCAAAGAAATGTTCCACCTTGACAGCGACCCTTCTGCTGGGCATCTCTTGAGTGAGAAAATTGCTAAACTGCTTTTTTTTTTTTTTAAGATTCTGTGTGCACAGGATTTTTTTAAATTGTGGTAAAATACATATAAAATGGACCACATTAGCCATCTTTAAGTGCACAGTTCAGTGGTGTTGAACACCCTGGCCCTGTGCAACCATCGCCATGAAGCATCCCCGTTACTCCTTCCATCCTGTAAAATGGGAACTCTAAACCTACGAGCAGCTCTCCATTCTCCCTCCCCCCGGTCCCTGGCAACCACCATTACAACTTCCATCTTTCTGGTTTTGACTACGGGGGGTACTTTATACGAGTGGGATCCTGCACTACTTGTCTTTATTGTGATGCCCTGTGTCACTTGGCATAGCGTCCCCCCAAGGTTCATCTGTGTTGTAGCATAAGGAGGACCTTCTCCCTTCTTTCAGGCTAAATAATATTCCATTGTATGCGGGGGGGTCCCTGGCTGGGTCCGTCAGCAGAGGTGAGGTGTGGGACTCTTGATCTCTGGGTTATGAGTTCGAGTTCCATGTTGGGTGTGGACATTACTTAAAAATAAAATACATTTTAAAAATTCATTGGAGGGACACCCGGGTGGCTCAGCGGTGGAGCATCTGCCTTCGGCTCAGGGCATGACCCCGGGGTCCCGGGTTTGAGTCCCCCATTGGGCTCCCCACAGGGAGCCTGCTTCTCCCTCTGCCTGGGTCTCTGCCTCTCTCCGTGTATCTCTCATGAATAAATAAATAAAATCTTTAAAAACTTTCCATAGTATGTTTTACTATATTTTGCTTATCCATTCATCAGTTGATGGACACTTGGGTCACTTTTCTGTTTCAGCTACTGTGGATAAGGCTGCTGTGAAAATGGGTGCACAGTATATCTGAGACCTGCTTCTAATTCTTTTGAGTACCCAGAAGTCTGGCTGTATGGAATTGCTGATTATACAGTAATTTTATTTTCTTGGGGTGATGCCTTACTGTTCCCCACAGTAACGGTACCATTTTAACACTCCCACCTACAATGTAGAGGGGCTCTGATTTCTCTACATCCTCCCCAACACGTGTTGTTGTCGGTTTTTTTTTTCATAGTAGCCAAACTAATGAGTGTGTGAAATGGTTTTACATACAGATGATCGTGAGGATAATAGGGCTGATGAAGATGAAACCACAGACAGGTGGGGAAAAGTACCTCGATGATATAGTGAAAATGTGTGATGAGTCAACAGCTGGCCTTGACCTAAGCACATTTATCAGTGGATGTGAGTTTATGGTGGTTTTGGTAATTAAAGAAGAAGTGCTTAGATGGAGACTTAAATACCTCAGGCATGGGGAGAAGTCCTTCAGGAGGCCCCTAATCGCATGCTTCCCTGAATCCAGCTCCTGGGATGGTGGGGGGGGCCTCCAGCCTGCCGCCAGTGAGAGGTCAGGGACACTCGGGGCTTGCGTATGCACAGGCATATGTAGCTGAATTCGAACCTGCGTGTATTTAAACATTTATAAAATGCTTTCTTAGAAATAAGAGTGTTGGGCAGCCCGGGTAGTCAGCGGTTTGGCACCACCTTCAGCCCAGGGCATGATCTTGGGATCCCAGGATTGAGTCCCACGTCGGGCTCCTTGAATGGAGCCTGCTTCTCCCTCTGCCTGTGTCTCTCCCTCTCTCTGTGTGTGTCTCTCATGAATAAATAAATAAATCTAAAAAAAAATATTTGAGTGTTAGAGTGTTTACAATCTCTTTTTACTCCACTATTTCATTCAGTGGTTTATTATTGTCTAAGTACACTACGCACTCTTTGTCCTAATGAATGCTTCGCTGCAGAATTATTCGCCTCTTTGGTCATGATTTGCCTCCTTAGCTCCTGCTGGAGCTGTTAGATAACATACCACGTTATACACGTAGTGCCTTTCAAGAGATCTGAAAAGTTTTGAGTCCCAAAATTCCCCAGGCAGGCCCCAAGGACTTTGGAGCATAGATTGTAGACCTTATTTTAGCAATTAAACAAATAACACGTTTGTAGGAGATGAGTCCATTGCTCCAGGTTAATAGCCTTTGTGGACAATTTCTAACGCCCGCCATGGTTAGCTACGCAGGTTTCTATCTCTCCCTCATTGGACAAAGGCCTCTGTTGTATGCGGCACTGATATGAAACCAATCCTTACTTTTTAAGCAGCAAAACTGAAAACGTCTAATCCTCTCCGGTGAGGAGACTTCTAGGCTGCATTACAGTCTAATTAGGGGCATTTATAGGATTATATAAAGCATGAGGGACGCCTGCCTGGCTCGCTCGGAAGAGCCCGTGACTCTGGATGTTGGGGTCATGAGTTCGAGCCCCATGTTGGGTGTAGAGATGACTTAAGGAAATAAATAATTTTTAAAATATAATGTAAAGAATGAATTTGTTTCTCCCTAATAATTCAGCGTCGCCGTTATGAAGAGGGGTCATTCGCTGTGAAAGCAGGGCCTGGCTCCAGACCAGCCAGCTCGCTGAGTCCTTGTGTCCTCCCCGCGCCCCGGGGCTGGGACGAGCAGGCCCTCCGGGCTGCGGTCGGGGTGCTGCCGGCCGTAGCACCCTCGCTAATGCGCTCGGGCTGGAAAAGCTTATTTGGGCTCAGATAAGAATAAATGATCCAGTAAGAGCCTGAACCTCTGAACATGCATTTGGGGTACCCGAGGCCCTCAGCCCGTCCTACTTCTCGGCTGGGTCACTGGCTGGGTTCCCGGGGAACGTAGCCCCAAGGGCTGAGCACCGTGGCGAGTCATCCCCCCTTTGTGAGGAGGGAGGGAAACGGAGCCCCGGAGCCCTGGGTCCTGGAGGCCAGCGTCGGGCAGAGAACGTTGGGAGGACTGTCGCCGGGCCGCTGCGGACACACCTGGACGGTCCAGTGTTCCAGCCGCAAACCAGTAAGCGACAGAAACTGGATCATAGCCCATCTGTCTCGCAAGCCCATTCTCTCCATTTTTTTTTCAGTTTATTAAAAAAAAAATCACAGTATCCCTGAGTGCTTGTAACAAGTCCAACATCGCAGAGGGGTTAATGTCTCCTTCCTCATCCCACTTCTAACCTCACGATTACACACTTGACCAGCTGAGATGCTGTCCTGCAGAGTCGTGCGATCACGCAGACACGTGGAGAAAGAGTTCTGCATTTTCCCCAAAACTGTAAGATCATCCCATTAACGTTCATCCGTGACTTTTCCTGCCCTACTCGCGTGGTACCGTTCCGGGACAGCTTTCTCAGCCCCGGCATGTAAGCCTCGCCTGGTTTTTTAAAACATAACAACATGGTATGTTCCGTACTGCAGACAAACCACAGTTTATTCAACACCTCCTGACAGAAATTCAAATTGTTTTCAGGCTTTTGCAATCCCAGATAATGCTCTGGTGAACTTTCTTGAACATATGACCTTACAGACTGTTAAGCCTTGATTTCCACAGGATGAAGGAACAAGAATAACATGACTGAATGTAATCTCTCTCTATATATATTTTTTTATTTTAATAGACAGTAGGCTGTGTTCTAAAAAGATACAGTAATTCCTATTTACAGCAGTAATGTGTGAATGCTCATTTTCTCCCCCCTGGCCAGCACAAAATATTAGCAATCTCCTATCTCTCTCTGTCTCTCTCTCTTTTTTTTTTTTTTTTGCCTACTACTGGATGGTTGAAAAATGGCATTTTGTTGAATTTCTCTGATTCCTGGTAGGATTGAGGTTTGAGCTCTTGCTCGCCAGGCTCTGACTCACAGACAGAGTGATGTGCAAGGCCAGTCAATGGAATTATCTTCTCCATGGCCTGGTAAAGTCACTCCTACTGGATGAGGCAAGATTCCCTTGGAGTCCATGCAAGGTGAACCCTCGGTTAGCCAGCAGGGCCCAGACCGGGGGGCATCAGAGAAAGAAAGAAAAACAAAACTAGGTTCTGAGTGGTGAGCAGTTCTAAAACCAGTAAATAAAAGGAGAGAGAAATGAGGTTACTTCTTTACTTTTTACTAACTTTCAAACTCAGTGACTTTTATCAAAACCGGGTCTTACAGGGGAAGGCATAGGGAACGTGGGCTGGATGCCTCTTCCATAATCTCGCCCTTCACCTCCAAGATAAATAAGAAGGAAGGAAAAATAAATGACAGAGGGAGAGAGAAAAACGACGTTTCCTTCAGCCAGGGCTGCGTTCCTGTCCGAGCTGGAGGCCTCTGGGCGTGCTGGGCCTCCAGGGGCCTCCAGGGGCCTCCAGGGGCTCTGCCGCAGCGAAGCTGAGGGCACCCTGGTCTCCTACCAGCTCAGTCCACCCTCTCCAGCGGAGAGTGAAACCTAAGGACAAACCAGAGGCAGGAAACAGAGGAGCCAGCTTCAGTGTAGTCCCTGCTTCAGCTGGAGGGGCGCCCCCAGAGAACCTCTCTGAATCTTACATTCCCATTTTGAAAAATGAGGGAGGGGTTTGGAATGTTTCATGTGCAAGGTCACCTCCAAAGCCAAGGCTCCACAGCTCCCACTGTACCCTGTCGATCGTGTTCTACGACTCCTGTGTCACCTTCTGCTGGTATCCATGCAGACGCGGAATGGTCGCCAACGTCCTGGGCTCAAGTGCCAACCTGCAAGCTACGTCACCTTAGACAAGCCCGTTGAGTCCCCTGAGCCCTTTTCCTCATCCATAAAACCTACCAAACAAACCTCGTCGGGTTGTTGCAAGACTCAAGCGAGTGGGTGTGTTGGCTTATAAGTTCCAACAGTGTTAAAAGGCAAACGCAGTGCAGCCACTCACTTCCATTTCTTTGCTCAATTTAAACTTCACTCACCAAATACTTACATCATTCATTGCATGAAAACCGACGGAGGGTTTGGAGCACTAGAGCTACCTTAGCGAACGAGGCCCCGGAAGTTACGGACCTCGCGGGGCTGGCACGCGGTAGTTCTTTTAACGTGTGGGTCAGTTAAGGCGATCCTGGCGCAGGTGTTAGGGCCCGGGTGATCGGACCCCGCATCAGCGGCTGGAGGCTGAGCGCTGGACCACACACACCGAGGCCCTGGCCTCCTGGAGCTTACCTCCCATCGGAGGGTTAGGTTGGACTGTGCGAGTCATCCCTGGAAGATCGGCCAGCAGACAATGTGAGGCTGATTACGAGGTAGGAACCCCCATTCTGGAACCGGGACTTCTGGCCTCTTGGCAACACTCAGTTTCCCCTTTATGAGAACTGAAGGCATTACAGATCCCGACTCCTCCTGCCCCATTTCCACCCCCAAGCACTCGGCCTGGATAGGTCAACAGTCTACCAAGTGGAGACGCTGGGACGAGGCATCACCACAGCTCTTCTCCAGCCGTGGTCGGCTGTCCGGGCTTCACTAGATGCTTACGCAGCATTCGTTTCTACATTCTGCAGGAGTATGGCTCGGCCCCCCGCTCTTTAGGTTCCTCTGGACCTACCCCATGACCCGTACCACACCGCCAGGCACACCTGCAGGACCCATCGCCATCCCTCGGCGGGATACTCCTGCCAGGGCGCTCTGCTAGGCCTGCACTTCCTGGCATTTGCAATACTTGAAAACTTGAAGAAGAGAATCACTAATAACTCCAGTATAAGGCGGCCTAAGTGGATGCCACTGGATAAAATGGGACCAAGGAGCTCCGCGGAGGGAAGACATCACCTGTGACCTGAGGAATTAGGGCCGAGCAGGACGTGGCCCTGATGGGAGCGCGCTGTGTTCACACGCAGGCTGGACGTGTTGCACGGATCCTGTCCCCTGGCGAGGGAGCCTCGGCGCAGGACTCGGTCGGGAGGCCGTGAGTGATGGAGGGGTTCGGGGGAGGCCGGCGCGCTGCCGCCCAGAACTGGGCCCCAACGGTGGGCTGTGCGGGTCCTGCCCAACTGGGTCTCCGGGGCTCATGGTCCCACAGGGCAACCGGAGACAAGGGGCTGTCCGTGGTGCGTGGCCGAACTGACTCGGTTTCCTGGGCCAGACCGCAGCAGATGGGCTCATGTCATTAGGGGCCCCAGGGTGCGTCCGGACCTAACCAAGGGAACCCTGTCTCTCTGCACTGTCACCGGACCGTCCACACTGCAGACGGGGCTCCCGACCAACAGCGCTGGGCACGACGGCCTCGGGGCAGGGATGCTGGGGGGCTGTGCCGCCGTCCCTGCACCTGCCCCCGAGGAGGACGCCGAAAGTGGGGGACATGGAGGGATGTGCACTGGCTGGGCCACCAGAACAGCCCCCCCTGTGGTCATGGGCCAGCGGGAACGGCATTGGCAGCTGCGTTCCTGGGATGGTGACAGGCCCGCTGGGCCGCAGCCGCGCCGCCCAGAGGGAAGCAGACGGCGGGGAGCCTGGGCGACACACTGGCCGCCTCGTGCAGAATGTCCTCGACTCTCCCAAAGATCACCCCCAGATCAGAGGTGTGGGCAGTAGAGATGCCGGCCTCAGGGTGACAACGGGGAGGCCCAAGGACCCCCCGGGGAGCCGGCCACAGGCCCCAGCGATGCCCCACATCCCAGCCCAGGGGGAGGGGACACAGCCCGGGGGCGACACCGTGAGCTGGACCAGGAGGAGGAAGGGAGGACTCACCACGGGCCTGGAAACCTGGGAGCAGGGCGGCTCCTTCCCCCGGGAAGGGCCCTGGAAGCTTCGAGCGGGAGCCAGCTGGGAACCTCCCCTCCGGAGGCCTCCACACACACCCCCGAGCCACGGAGGGGGACCCTGTGAGCAGAGCAACCAGGAAAGCTGGCAGGCCAAGGCCCTGCTCGCAAACCGCGGGCCTGGAAAAGTCCAGGTCGCGCAAAGTGAGTGTTACCAAGTTGTAAGGCAGCATCGGATCAGAGGCACCAGGAGAAAAGCATCCAGACGAAGGTACCATCAGGGAAAAGCAAATCTGAAAGGGAGTAGCCGAGCTTCCCAGCTATGAAAACGCATCAGAAACTATGAAAACGCATCAGAAACTATGAAATTATGAAAATGCATCAGAAACTATGAAACTGAAAATGCATCAGAAACTATGAAACTAGGCAGCCCAGGTGGCTCAGTGGTTTAGCGCCGCCTTCAGCCTGGGGCCTGATCCTGGAGACCCGGGATCGAGTCCTGCATTGGGCTCCGTGCATGGAGCCTGCTTCTCCCTCTGCCTGTGTCTCTGCCTCTCTCTCTCTCTCTCTCTCTGTGTGTGTCTCTTGTGAATGAATGAATAGAATCTCTAAAAAAAAAAAAAAAGAAACTATGAAACTATGAAAACGAATCAGAAATTATGAAAACGCACCAGAAACTATGAAACTGTGAAAACGCATCAGAAACTATGAAACTATGAAAATGCATCAGAAACTATGACACTTGAAAACGCATCAACTTCAAATCTATGATAAAAAAAATATTAAAAATACACTGGCCAAAGCTCGAACGATTTGAGCAACCAGATAAAGTACTATCAAGTTATACAATTCAAAATATTACAAAAAAAAAAAAAAAAAAAAAAACCCGGGTGGCTCAGCAGTTTAGCGCCGCCTTCAGTCCTGGGCGTGACCCCGGGATCCCAGGATCAAGTCCCTTGTCGGGTTCCCCACAGGGAGCCTGCTTCTCCCTCTGCCTGTGTCTCTGCCTCTCTATCTCTCATGAATAAATACATAAAATCTTTAAAAAACAAAAAAAGAAAACAAAACAAGTATAAATATCCATGAGTGTGTGCTGATATAACCACATCACTGGCTGAGTTAATCAATGAGACAGGAGACAAATCTAGCAGAATTCCAAATAAATCATGGAGATATTTTTCCCTAAAGGAGGGGGGCATAACTTCCCACTCCTTCCGTGCAGGCGGCGCACCGCACCGTGGCTTCCTTCCACCCAGCCTAGTATTTGAGGGTGGGGGTGGGGGAGCGACTCCACAGACACTGTAGTTGGTCAAGGTCAACAGCAACAGTCACAAGCCACGGTGATGCGCGCGTACTCTTGGTACCATGGGGGGGGGGGACAACTGCGTCTACCTCTGTGGTGTTCTTCCTTGCAACCTACCACCTCAGTTGAACCATTAGAAAACCTAATTCTGCTAGGAAGGCATCCTACAGGGGCGCCTGGAAGGTTCAGCGAGCCGAGCGCCTTCCGCCCAGGTCAGGAGCCCGGGGCCTGGAACCGAGCCCCAGTGGAGCCTCTGGGCCGCACGCTCCCGGCTCAGTGGGGAGCCTGCTTGTCCCTCTCCCTCTGCACCCCACACTTGTGCTCGCTCGCTCTCAAATAAATACATAAAATATTTAAAAAATTAAAAAAGGCATCCTACAAATACTTGACCACTCCTTAAAACTGTCAAGGACATTAAGAAATCGGAAAATCTGAGAAACTGTCACAGCCAAGAGGAACCCCAAGGAGGCGTGAGTTCTAAACGCGATGGGTTCAGGGCTCACCTGGTGAAGCGTCTGCAATCGGCTCGGGTCGTGATGCCCGTGATGCCCGAGTCTGTGGAGCTCCCTGCCTCGCCCTCTCTCTCTGCCCCAGTCCCCACCCCACCCCCTCTGTACTAGGGCTCTCTCCCCCTGTCACTCTCAAATAAATAAATAGAATCTTTAAAAATACGTAAGATACATACATGTGGTAGGTTTGCATCTGGCTGCAGTACAAAGACATTCAGGTAAAACTGATGAAATCTGAATGAAGCGTGGGCTTTAGCCAATTATAATGCACCGACAGTGATTCATATGGTAATAAACGCACCGCACCAATGTGTCAATAATAGGAAAACCTGTGCGAGGTGGTTGGGGAGGGTGGAGGGATATATGGAAGCTCGGCTCTACCTTCGCCATTTTTCCATAAATCTAAAACTTCTAAAAAATAGAACTGATTAGTTTGTAAGAAGCTTATCATTAATTGGGAATAATTCTACTGTCCGTTACTCTAGCCTTGGAGAATCCAAGTTCTACAGTGGGATCTCCTTGCATCATTCACTTCAGTATTTACCAAGGTCCTACTTCACATGCCTCTGAACTGCTGGGTCCGGACTATAAAAAAGATGAACAAAACAAGACCCAAGGCCTAGGTGGAGATCAAAGACGTTTTAATAGGTAATTATTGTCCTGTGAGGTGAGCAGAACTGAAGAGCACAGAAAAGGGGTTTGGGGAAGGTTTCACAGAGGAGGCATAAGGAGGAAAAGGTACAGAAACAAGAAATAAGTGGGCTGGACCTGATTTTTTTTTAACCTGTGCCTCAGTCTTCCTGTTTTTCTCCCCTCCCCTTTTTTCCCCTGAAAATTCAAGCCCTATAGAAGCCACTACTTTACATAACATGGTGGTTTTTTTTTTTTAAGGGGACTATTCTTTTTTTTTAAGATTTTATTTTTTATTTATTCATGAGAGACACAGAGTGAGAGAGGCAGAGACACAGGCAGAGGGAGACGCAGGCCCCATGCAGGGAGCCCGATGTGGGACTCGATCCCAGGACTCCAGGATCACACCCCGGGCTGCAGGCGGCACTAAACTGCTGGGCCACTGGGGCTGCCCTAACATGGTGTTTTAACTTTGCATGAACAACGGGGAAAACATACTTTAGAAAACGCCAAAATTTCTAAAATTATTACAGGCATGAAAGAATATCACACATTTCAAAGTAATTTTTAAAAAATATTTATTTATTTATTCATGAGAGACAGAGAGAGAGGCAAAGACATAGGGAGAGGGAGAAGCAGGCTCCCTGCAGGGACCCTGATGTGAGACTCGATCCCGGGACCCCGGGGGTCACGCCCTGGGCCGAGGGCAGATGCTCAACCACTGAGCCATGCAGCTGTCCCCAAAGTCAATTTTTAAAAGAAATTATTTATTTTAGAGAGAGTGAGCACAAGCAGGAGGGGAAGAGAAAAAGAGAGAGAGAATCTCCGGCCGACTCCATACTGAGCGTGGAACCCGACACAGGACTGGATCTCTCAAACCGCAGAGCGCAAAAATAAGTGAATTTTAAAACTGGTATAAAAAAAATAAAATAATAAATAAATAAAACTGGGATAAGTGGGGGACAGAGGGAGCTACAGAGGAATGTATACAAATATGAAACAAAGATAACGTATTGAAGGACGAAGTCTGAGGGCCCCTGGCGGGCTCAGCTGGAAGGGCCCGTGACTCCTGATCTCCAGGTTGTGAGTTCAAGCCCCACGTTGGGAACAGCGACGACTTACATTCAATATTTTTTTTTAAGATTTAAAATTCTGGGGAATGGCAATTCTGTGATTCAGCTTTCTGTTTCACCCAGGATCTTTCAAGCAAGTCGGTTTCTGCGGGTGTAAACCAGTAAGAGGAGCGGACAGGGGGGCCAAGGGCCTGGCCCTGCGCCTCTGCTCTGCGGGGGGCACGTGCACCGGGGTCTCTATGTAAATAATCTTGAGAAGGAGCCTGGACCTGAGGGTCTGCTTCGCTTTCTGGAGAAAACCCATGCTCGGAGGAACTTGGTAAGTTGCAGGCGAGCCGGATTGGAACCCGGGTCCGTCCCCGGCTGCGCCTCGTGCCCTGAGGTCGCCTCTCCCGTGTCCTTTCCCGGGGCTGCGGCCCCTGCACTTCCCGGCCAGGGGCTCCGGCCGAAGTTCACTTCTGATTCCGCATCTCGTTTATTTTTTTAAAATATTTTATTTATTTATTCATGAGACAGAGAGAGAGAGAGGCGGAGGGAGGAGCGGGCTGCAGCCGGGCGCCCGGCGCGGGACTCGATTCGGGGCCGCAGGCCCCCCCCCCCCCCCCGGGCTGCGCGGGAGCTCCCGGTCGGCGGGGCCTGGGCGCGCGGGCCCGTCCCGCCGCGCGCATCCACCTGTCCGCCGCCGGCCGCCGTGCGCGCGGGAAGCCTTGGCCGCCGGCCCCGCCCCCTGGCGCCCCGCGGGCGAGGTGGGCCTCTAAGCCCCGGGGCTCGTCCTCCCGCGTCGCGGGGCTGTGGGAGGACTCGGAGTTCCGAGGGGCGGGGGGGGGGCAGGGGGGGAGCGCCCGGTGCATCTCGGGAGCCCGCCGCCCGCCCGCAGCGGCTCCCGCCGGGCCAGGGCCGCGCCCGCCCCCGGGGCGCCTTTGTTCCCGCCGGCGTCCCCGGCCCGCGGCTCCCGGCGCTGCGGCCCTGGGCGGGGTCCCCGCGGGGCGCCCGGGCGCGGCGGCGGTGCAGGCGGCGAGATCCCGAGCCCGGCCGGCGTCCCGCGCGGAGCTCGGGGGCGGGCGGGCGGCTCCCTCCGCAGGACGGGCGGGCTCCGCAGGGCGCGCTGGCGGCGGGGCGGGGCGGGGCGGGGCGGGGCCGCACGTGGCGGGCGGCGGGGGCGGCGGGGGCGGCGGGGGGCGCTGCGGCCCGGGCGGGGGGGCGGGGGTCCCGGGCGGGGGGCTCCTCGGCGGCGGCCTGCGCGGGGCGGGCGGGGGCGGGGGCGCGGGCGCGGGCCGTGTTTACCTTCCGTGGCCGCTGCACGTTGCGCCGCCGCCCGCGCCTCCCATTGGCCGCTCCCGGGGGCGGGTCCGCCGAGCCCGCGCCTCCCCGGCCGCCCGCTTCCCGCCGCCTCCGCGCACCGGGGCCGCCGCCCGGCAGCTCCAGGCCCGGCCAGGGGGCGGGACGCGCGGGGCCGCAGCGGCAGGTGAGGCGCCGGGCAGGTGGGCGCGGGCCGAGGGCCTGGGCGGCGGGGGCCGGGGGCGGGGGCGGGGGGCGCGGGGTGGGGGGCGCCGAAGGGGGCGCGCGGGGGGGCGCAGGGGCGCGCAGGGGGGGTGCGCGGGGGGAGGCGCGGGAGGAGCGCGGGCGGGAGACGGCGAGCGCGGGCGGGGAGCGCGGGCGGGGAGCGCGGGCGGGAGGGGCGCGCGCCCGGAGGTGTCAGTCGAGGCGCATGCGCGCGGGCGGGCCCTGCCCGGCCTATATATTGGTTGGCGCCGGCGCCAGCTGAGCGCGGAGCGGCGGCGGGTCCCGCGGTGAGGAGGCGCCGGGCGTGCGGGCTGCGGGGGGATCGGCTCCCGGCCTCGGGGCTCCCCGCGGGCGCGGCCTGGGGGGGGGGGGGCGTCCCCGCGCTGCCGCCCTGTGGGGGGCTGCCCGGGGCGGGGGGCGCCCTGTCGGGGGCTGCCCGGGGCGGGGGGCTGCCCGGGGCGGGGGGCTGCCCGGGGCGGGGCCGCAGGGAAGGCCGGGTCCCAGGGGTCGTGCGGCCCGGCGTCGTCGGGGCGCCCCCCGCGCGGAGGGCACGGGGGCGGGTGTCCTCCCGGGCTGGCCGAGGCGCCCCTTCGCCCCTCCGCGGGGTCCGTCCCCGTCTCCCTCACCCCCCCCCCCGGGGTCGGGGTCCCGGGGTCCCCGCGGCGGCCGGGCCCGGGGGCGGGGAGGGCGGCAAGGAGGCCGGAGGGCGCGACCCAAGCCCCAGTTCCCGCCGCCGCCGCCGCTCTCCAAATTGGCGCGGAACCGGCTCCTCCGCCGCCTGGGCGCCCGCGGCCGGTCCGGGATGGGGGGGGGACCCCGGGGACCCCCGCGCCCCCCGCGCCCCCCGCGCCGCGGCTGTACGCAGGCTGTGCCCCGAGCCACACGGGGACCTCCAGGGTTGGCAGCGCAGGACCCGCGCGGGCCGGGGCAGGGCCGGGGCAGGGCCGGGGCAGGGCGAGGGGAGCGCGGCCGACCGTGTTCCTGAGCCTGGCTTTTCCCCCTCCGTCCTCCAGAGGCTTCACCCGAAAGAGGAGGATGTCCAGACGCAGGTAACCTCGCTTGTCCTGTCCGTGCGCTTACGATTACCGCTGCGCCTGGGACTCGGCACCCGGTGAAAGCTTTCCTCCCACTTTCCCCCGCAGTAGCCGTTTACAAGCCAAGCAGCAGCCACAGCCCAGCCACACGGATTCCCCCCAAGAAGCCCAGATAATCCAGGCTAAGAAGAGGAAAACCGCCCAGGTGAGGGAGCCAAGGGGAGAGGCGGGCAGGTGGGGGCGGGGGAGGAGAAACCCCCGGCTGGGACCTCGGTGTGACAGTGGTCTCTTCTGTTTTGCAGGATGTCAAAAAAAGAAGAGAGGAGGCCGCCAGGAAACAGCAGTATGAGATTAGGGTACTGCAGGACTGGGCTGGGGGGATTGGGGCGAAACAAGCGGGGGGGCCGGGGCAACAGCACTGTGCTGTTGGGGGCTGTGGGAAGACCCGCTGACATGGTGACCCGGAGGGCCCCGGGGGTCAGCGGGAAGGCGCGCATCTCCGGGGGGTTGGTGCGGCCCCAGTCCCCCTACAGCTGCAGAGTAAGTTTGCCTTGAAGCAGCTGGTTCCTCTTTGTAAATCCCTCCCTCTTGGAGTCGCCTGGTGCACCAGGGCCCGCCTAATCTGTCCAATGTACTGCTCTTTGTTCCCTCCCTGACTGCCGTGGAGGGTCCTAAGAGCTGCTCCTTGGGGCCCAAGTGGGATGTGAAGCCACTGACAGCTGGCACGTCCCCCTGGCTACCTGTTCCCCGTGGGTGGGGTACAGAGAACGCTGGAGACTGTACCAGCCTCGGTTGGGGAAAGGGTCCTTTAAATGTTTG